TTGCCTTTCTTTTTACTGTATGTAAAAACATGAGTTTATATTCTCAACAAAGTGCATCTGCTTACAAAATTAAGCCAGTAAGTAGCCTACTAAAAAAGAAAGAAAACTAGACGTGATATCTGCTCAGCTCCAGAGCATGTACGTGAAACTTAATCATCTTTTTAAAGAATATTTTCCAGGTGCCACTGGTATTATATTCCCACTTGGAACCACCTCCGGACTGCCTCACATTCACACACCAGTTGGAGGAGAGGGCACAGCAGATGGGCCGTTGCTCATCACAACGTCCACTTGTTCTAAAGGGGAAAGCGGGGGCCTCCGACAGCACGTCTTAAGTTGTGTAATAAGCTTTTAGTGTCACAAATGAAAATCACACGTTCATTTTTTTTTCTCAGGTTGTTTTTTTCCTGTAGAAGATTTGTTCCCGCAGCTCCCAGAGGATGAGTGAATTGTATAACATAAACCGGCATTTTATAGAAGAGGGAAATTACTTTTGTTGATATTTAACATTATTGACGAGATTTATCCGTCTCTATAATCTGTCAGCTGTTGCCATGGCAGCTGGTGTGCCGTTTTTAAAACCATAGCCTGTGTTATTTGCCTCCACAGTGGAGTTTTTACACTGACATCTGTCGTGTTTTTATGATTGTTCCATGTGTGAAAAATCCCCCCAGTTGTCCTGAGTTTTAACAAAGCACCTATTCCGTCCTCTCACTATACGACTGAGCCATCACTTCATATTACAGGTCAGCGTTACGGTGCTTAATTATGTGCCGGCTGCTCGGGGCTCCTAATAACCTGTCATTGAGGGGAATTTGAATGTCACACCATATTGTTGGACCCTAATGGCAGCAGGCAGATCCACTGATGAGCCGTTTTGGGACAATTACAGTGGATATTCAAATCGCAGGTCTAGGTGTGTGTGGAGCTGCACCGCACACACACACACACTTGTTGTATCTTGACCCCTCAGCCAAAATCTCTTGCCACATAAAGAAGATCTCCCCCACCCCCACCCCCCTCCTTTCCACGCCGCTGCTGGAACAGTTTAACTGTAGCCTGATCGCTTTTATTATCCTCCTAATCCAGATATCAGCGATTTCATCAAGCCGGGGAAGATATGCATATCATGAATTATTTTGACACTGGGACCTTTTAATTTTCGCCGGCAATATTTCATCCCACCAATCAGTGCCTGGAGTGGTTGTCGGACGTGGCGGTGTCAGAGGACGAGGTTCACCTCCTCCCCCCTTCCCCCATCCCACGGCGGGTCCAAATCATCCCGGGGACAATAATGAGCTACGGCCACAATTATGAGCTGCCTGTGTGAGCGTGCATCTCATCAGAGGCCCCCATGCTGCTGAGGAGGAGGAGCAGAGACACAATGCAGGACGCACACATCAGGGATTTCATATATGAAGTGGCAGGAAGGAGGGAGTCTTTCAAATGTATTCTGTTACAACTACAAGTTACCTGTAAGAAAAAGTCAGTAATCTAACCTGAGTATCAGTAGAAATGTAATGTGATTTACTTGATCAAAAAACGTCTATAAAAAAACTATAAAACATCAATTACAAGTTAATACAGAAATATCAATAAGTGTATAAAGAAACCAACATATTTACTAGCAAACCAATGTGTCTTCTGCTTACTGATTAAAAAACAAAAACATGCCTTTTATTATGTAAATTCAGGCAGTTTTCAAGTACTTAATTGCAGATTCTGAAGTACTGGGATTTTACTGTAACTTCCACTTTTTAGAGGCAGAAATAACATTAATCAAACAGGTTCTGCATTTGTGTTAAAGATTTTGAAGTTACTTGCATTTTACTAGCACATTATGTTATGGGGTGTTCAACTTTAACAATATTTCAAGATGGAAATTATAATGTAGCCTATTACTATGTGGATTAAGATTTGACATATTTGTATTTTGTAAAGAAAGTGTCATATAAGTAGTTACCCTACAATAAGCTATGAAAATGTTAAAATAATTTAAATCTACTTATTATTCATAATGATCACATTTTATAATATGTAATAGACTAACGGGGCCCTTCGAACTTATAATGAATCGTTTTACTTTTGGTTAACACTCTTAAGAACAAATTGCTGGCAGGACTTTCACTTGTAATGTATTTGTCCTTCGTATGTTAAAAATATTCTGGAAACTTTCTTCCATCACTGCAGATTAATATAGCTACATGCAAATGATCATCTTACAAAATGTGAAGCACTTTTATTATAGAGTGTACTGCCACAGAAAATCACCTTGACCAGCTAGAACATGAAATACTGCTAACATGGACCAGTGATAACTCTGTCTGCTATTATAACCATAACAGTCAGGAGACATTCTGCATTGTGAGTACTTATGAGTATAAGTAGGCTATACTTCGGTTAAGGTACACTAGAGGACTAACGTCTTGTAACCTTTGTTTAAAGAGGATATTTGTGGTGCCTGCACATCCCATTAAACTTATTTGTGTGTGGGATTCTATTACTATAAAATGGTGTTAACAGTTCTGTCACAATGTTGAGACTCAGTAACCACATCATTTAACATTTTTGTTCTTACACTCAGAGACTACATGAAGCCATGAGGATGCGCAGCACAGGGTGTCATGTCTGCCTGTGATATGTGGACTGTGTGAGTTAATCCTCTGATGTTTTTACTCCCTGCAGAGCGGGTATTACGTGAGCAAATTGGATGCTCAAACAGTCAGTCCGTGACCTTCCCTCATCCCGGATGTTGACCCCCGTATAAAGAGAGACATTACATCTCGTTACACAACAACACGGCTCCTGCGCCTCGCTCCGGATAAAGAAAAATGTCTCAATTAAATCTTCACCGGGGCCCCCGCCGGAGAGTTATCGCTGCACTCACACATCCTCAAAAGTTATTTGACATAAATTGCCGGAGTCACATCATTTCCTGCCACACTCTGAGCGGGATTTACGGCTGATCCCATTGGCGGGGAGCTAAACCTTCAATACAATTCCTCAAGAGCCCAGGGACGAGAGGAGCACCTATCTCCCCCCGATCAGCCCCCACCCCCTCTAACGCAGATTAACCATGCAAATACACACAGGTGGGAGGATGATACCGCCAACACATTTATGCACATATATGCAACTGAGCTGATATGGCCATGAGGGGTTGGGGGGGGATTGTGCACAAGACAGGCTGATTGTGTTTTATCAGATGGGGGTGAAACATGGGGAAAAGCAAGGCGGTGTATCCAAAGAACTCAAGGAGGTCTGTGGCTTTGATTAAAAAATGAGAGGTGAATTGAGTCATTTCACAAAGGCAGCACATGAAGCTTTGAGAAAAATCATTTAAAAGTGAAAATGTCCTTTTGCATTAGTGCTCAGGAATGCAGAGAAAGGTGCATTATCTCCTAAAAACAACCTTATGGCTGCATTAGCGCTCAGATATTACAGGAGGTGAGCGAGGCGTGTCAGTGTGTTAATGGTGATGAGGATTCTCGCTCAGTCTAAAGATGGAAATGCAGTTTCAGCGGTCATCTAATTACAAACAAGTGTTCAGAGTGTACACTGGACCCAGCACTTCATCACTCGTCAGGCTTACTGTCTCTCTCTAGTGGTGGGAAGGGAGAAGACTGAGCTCAGAGGGGCTCAGGGTGCCTGCAAATCACACCAAGATACATGTTTGTCAGTGTCAATATGGACAAGAGGTACCCTAAATCAGAATCATCTAACATTCCTTGACAACAGGGCACATCTATTGCTACAAAATAGACCTTGAGGGGAGATTATATTGTCAAAAATATGAGAAGGTTAACCCTCTTAAAAAAGATTTCACTAGTGGTTTCTGCTCTACACTTTGATACGCACTCTGTGTAGTTAAAAAAGTTGTATTGAGCGGAAAATAGATGTTGAATACTTTTCTCAGAGGATTTTCCTTGTACAAATAAAGATTTAAAATGGCTTTAGGGATATTATAGATATTGGATAGTCAATATTTCCTAAACTCCTTTTAGACGGTTGCAGATGCCGATATACACAGACACACTTTTTCAGCCAAAATGCAAAGTACATCAAGTGTCCCCTGTAGTGGAATACAAATGATATTATGCCTACTGGCCCTTGTTTTTCAAAATGTACACATTGACTGAGAAAACTAAGAAAACAACTGAGGTTACATGTAAATCATGCCATACTGTATAACAGCGGTTCCCAACATTGTTCAACTCAGGGCCCTCTTAAGAATCGAATAAATGTCGTGGCCCACATTCAACCATCAACAATATGGAGGCTAAATAAAGTTCTGATTGGTCAATTCAGAACATGTGACACATTGTCAATCCAGTAGTACAGACCGCTGTCAAGGACTGTAATGACCGTTGCTAAGGAGGACCAAGAAAGAGAAAGGAAAATAGGTTCAGTAAAAAAAAAAAAACCTTAATAATGAAATGTTTCCACACAAATCAAAAATGTTTTGCAAATTATTTGGCGGCACAGGTTGGGAACCGCTGCTGTCTAACATTTTACGCAACACATCGGTAAGTCACAGCAGAGGAAGCAATCATTTCTGCAGACACCGATGACGTGCCGGTATCACGTATTAACATTGCCGTTAAACGAGCTCTGTAGCCAGACTCCATTCAGATATTACAGCGGCAGTGAAGCTTCCCTCCAGCTTGGCGTTTCATTGGAGGATCAGCAGCAGCAGCATCAGTGGCTCGGGGGCCTCCAGCTGGGGCTGCTGCTGCCTGCCTACCAGCAGCAGGGCTGGGGGGGTGGGGGGGGAGGTGGTGGGCGGCCACAGGATCGCCCTGGGGCCCCTCACTTATGCACCAGTAAAGAGAACTGGATTTCCTCTCTCCCTCGGCTACGAATGGTTGCTGCCTTCAGCGATTTGATTCGACGAAGTGAGCTCTGCACAACTGCAAACGCCGTGAAGATGATCACAAGAGAACACGGTGACCGCATCATATTCAGCAAAAATAATGCAAAAAAAAAGAAAAAGCACCAGACACGTTTGGATTTGAAGTTTATCATCGTTTGCATTAACAGTGTAAGGGATCTACAGTTTAAAGATCTGCATTCAGTATATTACATTTGATGAGCGAGTCTGTAGTTACACTTTGTTTTTGTCGCCCTTACAGAGGTTCATCTAACAGCTGTGGGAAATGTACACTTTGACCGACACATGAGAAGAGTTCTAAGAAACTACGTTCAAGTATTTCTTCGCAGTATGACACCAAATATTAAAAATTAAATCATGATGCAATTTAGAGACTGATTCTGTGCAAAATGGACAAATAAAGAAGACATTTTAATACTGATGATAACCCTAACGAATACCTTTTATCCAAAAACGTTATTTTAAAGGCTGATCTATTACTACATTTAACGCAAAAAAATATTATTGCTTTTCCAGAGAGTAGTCGTGATGAATTCAGGTCAATCTGTGCCGATCCGCTATCTGTTTGAACTCGACCGACTGTGACGTCTACGCACCATCAGAACAATAAAAGTCGCCTGGTCAGCAGCGGAAATTATAATTATTAATGACACTCGCACAAGTCGGAGGAGATCATGATTAAACCTGGTGTGAGTCATGGGGTCGTAAAGGCTAAAGGAAAGGAATAAACTCACTAAGCATTAGCTGTTCTGTGACATCCAATCAAATTACAAAAACTGAACAATCCTTCACATGTAATGTCTGAGACTTTAGGGAATCAGGCACCATTTACAAAATGTACATAACCACACCGTTATTCCAGTTTACCACTACTGCACAGCGAGTCCTGTGTGTGTGTGTGTGTGTGTGTGTGTGTGTGTGTGTGTGTGTGTGTGTGAGAGAGAGCACGCAGCGACACGATGTTTGCTGTAAGGACACTGCTGGCTAAACAGGTGGGGTGACGATACTGTAACAGTGTGAGTGTGAGTCCAGGGAAGGGTTCAATAAGCAGGCAGCTGACACGTTGGTATTTGACATGCCTGGGAGGAAAACTACAGAAGACTATAAAGCTGATGTGAAAGCAGAGGTAGCCTAACGTGTGTGCAAAAATACAAAGCGCTGTCAATCAAATCACTGCTGCTGTGATTGGATCAGTCCAGAGGAGTTCAGGTAATGTAGTTAGTGGTGGTTTATCATTCAGTATGTAATGCATGAGAGCCGGTGTCTAGTTCACTATTTCTACTGAGGAGACGTCCCACGCTAAGCTAAGAGCCGCCCCGCACAGCTGTTACATCTGACTCTCAAATGATTTAAACGAACGATGGAAAAAATTACATTAAATATATATAGCTAAAGTAAAATGTCAAAAAGGCACACACAATAACCACAGATCTAGGCATCAGGCGAGGTTGGCACAAAAGACGAAAAAGCATGCTAAATAAAACTGAAAGATTGAAAACAATGTATAGTCAAAAGAATAGGGAGTAGACACGATGAGGAAAAGCAACCAAAAACCATGCACACAAAAAAAAAAACCAAGAACTTCCAATTTCTAATGAATCAGCCAGAATTAAATATGTCCCGAATTTGGTTTGGTACAATTTGTAGTCCTCTATGTCAGGTGGGATACATACGCAGCTAGGTGTGCACATAAAAGCCAGTAGTAGTGGGATGTAGCTGGATATATACACAAGTTAAAGTTATTGCAGGTTCCACTCGGCAGTCCAGCACTTGTTGCACGCTCGTGGTGTGCTTAGCGAAGTGAGGGGGGGGGGCTACGCTAGTGTTGGCTTAGTCCGAGGCTGAGAGACGCTAAGGCTGCAGCTGGATGGTACTTTGGAGGAGACACAGGAGCAGAGAGAGAGACAGGAAGTGGTCACCAGTAAAAGGAGCGGGTCAGGAAGTTGGCGGCCGTGTTGAGCCAGCCCATGCCGTCTGTGATGGAGCCGACGCGCGTCACCGCCTTGTCCTGCTCCTCGGACGGGCTCTCCTCCTCCGGCAGGTATTCTGGGATGTCTTCGTTCACCTCCACCGCCTCCTCCGAGTCCTCGCTGAACGCCAAGATCCTCTGCGGAAAGACAAAAGAGAAATATGTGTTTTTAGTGACATTTGTCCAGGAGGAACAGTGTTTTTCGTCATCATCCTCACAGTCAGATTACATGTCTGAGCCTGGTCTGCCCCCTGCTGGCCACTTTATGTATGACTGTTAAATGCAGCAACTCTTTCTTAATATTTAAAGAACAATTAACATATGATTGGAAAACAAACACTTTGGAATCCCACCTGATTTATGAGTTTTAAATACAGCTTCACTACATTTAAGTGTACACACTGCTGGGAAATGGTACGACTGGGACTGGTGTGTGTTTGGCAAAAAGGGAGTAGCCTGGAGGCGGAGGCAGAGATGTGACTAGCTAATCATGTCAGTGTGAATGAGTCTCAGCCGCAGGCAAGGGCGGCCACACACAGATACACACAGCATACACTACATCCAGGGAAATTAGTCCACAGCAATTTAAAGTAAACAATACAGTCCTTACCTCGGCTCCATTCTCCGTCCTCACCACCTGCTGAGCCGTCATCACTTTGGTGGAGTTGATTGCTGTGCCCAACGCCTGTGAGGAAAGGGAAACACTTATTTGTGACTCTTCTCTTTCTGTCTTCAGCTAAAACAATAATAATATAAATAATACTTATGGTTTTATTAAATGTTGGTGGTCAATTCTGGTTTAAATAATCATTTATAGGTTGACAAGCAGCGTCAACACAGGTTGTAAATGTATGAGAAAGCTTATTTCTGCTTTTGTAACGAAGAAGACCAATATCAATGACTTTCCAGTTTCACATACCAATAAATAAGTTGATATCTAACTTTCTGCTCTAAGAACTATGACTGAAGGGAGCAGGTTCTGCTACCTTTAATAACTCCAAAAATCTGATTTACTTTATCAGCCAAGAGTAAAATACAAGAAGTAGTATAGTTTTAGAAGTACAATAAAAAAGTAAAATGTTCAAAGGAGTTGAAGACAATAATTAAATATAGTTAAGAGTGATACAAACACACATAATACATATGCTGCATTCGGACATATTGCAAAGTCCATAGCAAACAGCATGTGTATCCCAACTGGCAACAACGCAGCAATCAATACATTACAGTGAAAAGTGGCAGCCCTTAGATGTTTGGAAGTGTTTAAAATGGTTATATGTCAGACACGGTACAAGAAACTGGACAGATGGCGTGTTTACCAACTGATTGTGACCAAAATACCAACTGATATTTATTTGTGGTCAGACACAGGCAAGAACATGGTGTAACCCAGAGTTCCTGGAGGATGTCCTGCACCTACCTCAGCTTTGAGGTCAGAGCGGATCCTGATTACACATCTCTTGACGGCCATCTGGAAGGTGAAGCTGATCACTCCTCGAATCTTCAGCAGCGCGTCCTCACAAAGGCTCCGTCGAGACTGACACAGGAAACAACTGGGTTATTAACATGTCATTGGTTAAGGGACGGCCATCATCATACAGTATAAGATGTAACCATGTCAAATGTAGTCGTAGAAAATACACTACAATACATGATATTGCTACATACAACATGGTGTTGAGGAATGCAGTCCACATGACACGGTGTGTGTGTGTGTGTGTTTCTGCTGCAGTGATAGTGCGGCCGCCCACCAGAGGCCGTCTGCTGTAATGTAATCTGGCTAGCTGCTAGCTTCCTGCAGAGCAGCGTTCAGGTTCAATTCCAGCCTCCTGCTGTTCAATGGCTGACATTTACAACCTGACCCCTACACCCCCCCCCCCCACCCCGTGCCACATAGATATGGCTAAGATGCACTGACAACACTCGTAATGACAGCGGCAAACACTACAGCCCAAAGAGAGATGTCTTTGCATCAATAATGTTTGGTGTGTATAGTTTCGAGGAGCATGAAGTCAGAGCATGGTGACAAAGCATCTCGCAAAGCGCCACCAGACTCCTTTGACAGAAACAGTCATTTAACCTCGCAGGACAAGATCAAGTACTTCAGTTGGTCTGGGTGTGTCAAACAGACTTCATAATGGCAGCGGTAAACCAGCAACTGCTGCGTTCTGTCTGCTAAAATTATTGTTTTTGTCCAAGGCGTCTGCTGGCTTTTAAGAAAATATATATTAGTTTAAAACGGCTTCAGTTCCGTGTCTGAAAGGGGTGTCTGACAGCAAGGTCAACCAGTAAGGGGCTGTCACAATATCATATTTTCACTACATCATTATCATGGCCAAGAACATTAAACGTGTTAGATAAAAAGTCAAAATCATATTTAATTTTGTGTTTTGAGCATTTTGTCCCTTTTTGGTAAATGAATTACACTAAAGATACAAGTGTACGAAGGTCAAGAGAGTCTCCAGCCATAAACTATATACAAAAGCATACATTGAGATTGAAATCTCTTGCATAATGGATTTAAATCTCAATAAGAGAGCATGAAAAATGAATAAAAGAAAAGACGTTGGATTATACACACGATAATAATAACATGGTTCATTTTTAATAACCCTGTAGTATACCGGTATACTGTGACACTCCTAATACTAACTATGGATAATAACCCATTACTACCCTACTCTGAAAGAAGGAGTCTCTCCCTATAAGTGTTGAATGCAGCCTGTGTGACACTCACTGAGTCGTCCAGTCCGTCGATGTGCAGCACCACCGTCTTGGCCCTCTTGTTGCTGGAGCCCAGGAAGAACTGGGCTTTCTTCTGGCAGGACGCAGCGGCCGCCTCCGCCTGCTCCGCCTCCTCTTTACCCGCCAGCTGCAGGATCTCATAGATCTCAGAGGCCAGCAGCTTGGTCTCCCCGGGCGACGTACTCCTTCAGGGAGAGAGGGAGAAGATCATAGAAGAAAAATTACTGAATTTGTCAACTGTGGTTCATGTTTGTAGGAACATATGTGATGGTATGCAGTTGTATGTTGTTATTAGTGGGTGGATTTCCATGCAGAAGCCACATGAGGTCAGTTGGGGCTGCTGATGTTTTGAGAGGGATCCTGAGATAAACCTGCAGGCTTCATATGTCATCAAGTCATCAGTCCTTCTATAGTAACCACACACGACACCATCTGTCTGGAGCTGCTGCCCTCTGGGAGTGTTGGGTACCCCCCCCCCCCCCCAACAACACATCCTGCACCAAATCCAGAGGCCAAACACCTTCTTTGATATTTTACTCTATTCTTTACTTCCATGCATTTAATAAGAGGCTGCTTGAGCTTCAGATCTTGAGTGTAAAGTAAATAAAAACACCTGTTTGGTGCGACTATGCTGGACCCCCCCCCCTCCTCTGCCATGTGTTGCCACTCTGTCCGGCTATGATCGACCTCCACCCAAAGTCAGCCTGACTGAAGCTGTTCCTGCAGGGCGGCTTCTGATGCCTGACGAGCTAACGTGACGCGCTCATTCCAGGGTGAGAAAGAGAGCTCTGCCGCAGGAGGAGGACGAGGAGGAGGCGGGGTGTAATCATACAGGCTATAGCCGGCCACTTAAACATTAGGTCTATTCCTATCAGGGTGCTGATGATGACCTGCAGTCGCTTAGTGTTCTCTGGTGAGAGCGGCTATCTGGAGCACAACACCACCTCGACACAGACCTGCCAAACACTGAGGCTGCGTTCACACTACAAGCCTCAATTCTGATGTATTGCTCAGATATGAAGTGGCTAATATCAGGTTCCAGTGTGAGCTTCTTACGGTCCTGAACTGACCCGAAAAAAACAAGAAAGCCACAAGCAGACGTAAACGTGGAGGCCAGTGAACTCACATTAACATTCGATGTGCTGTAAAAAGAATTTGTGAGCAAAAACTAGGGATCCAAGTTTTTAATGACATTTGAATAATGGTGTGTGTGGAATAGCTGCTACAACTTTGGAGTTAGTGTGGATGCCGGGTCAAAGCCAGGAGTGGTACGCCTCTCCAAAAGACGCAACATTGTGACGAATGTCGATCAGAAGACATGTTAACGTTCAGAGCTGTATATGATTTAGTACAACATAAGAAAAGGTGGCCCGAGTCAGAATCGAAAAGTTCACATTTTATGATTTGTGCGGTTCATACTCAATCACATATACAATAAATAAGAAAGTTTTACCCGCAGTATAAACGTAGCCTTAGTGGATGACCAGACTGTGTTTTATATATAAACACATGTAGAAAGCCTACCAGAAAAGCCTACAAATGATACAAAACTAAGAAATATGCTTGCACAAAATGAGCCACCTCTGCATCTAACTCCACAACAAAACAAGTGTAAATATAAGCTAAAAACATGCAAGTGGACTCAACATGAAATGTAGATGTGGCAAGACACATTCGAATCTATAAAGCTGCAGAAACAGCAGTTTAACTGTTTAGCACCCTACTCTAATTCATCTTTAATCACATTCATCCTGACATGGCGAAGGAAAGGACATCATTCTAACGAGATAATCTGCAGACTGGCACACATTGTCTGTGCAAAACAAAGAAATCCTAGGTTATGGTTTTACGTAAAGAAAGTGCACAGTGAGCATGTGTGTGTGTGTGTGTGTGTGTGTGTGTGTGTGTGTGTGACAGGGACTTGCTTCTGCATGACATTCTGCAGGCTCAGCATCATGCCCAGCTCGCCCTTCATCTTCTCCCTGTTGGCTCGACATTCTGCCAGGTAGCGCACGGCCTGCAAGGACAAGGGCAGCGGTTATCAATCTGACCCGTTGTGATATCATGAGAGAGAGGAGACTTTAAAATGGGTGAGCATGTGCAATGAGAAAATATTACATAACCATGATAAACACGCGGCGTGTTTACACTTCACGGGTTAGCAACTGTTACATAAAGCCTTTAAAATGAGTGCTCGCAATACAAGTCAGGATGTAAGACTGTTTAACTCCTGAGCTCTGTGAAGTGTCACCATGCACATACATGTTCATAATACACTGTTCAATTATACATCTGTTTATAGTCTTGATATCCATATATGTTTATATTATTACAGTATTTTTTCTACTCTGCATTTTTCATTCTGAACAATATAGTTCTATTTTATATATACATATTGTTCTTATTTATGCAACTTAATTGACCCATTTTGACTATTACTATGTTATGTCTTCATGTTTATTGTATGTTGCATTGTTGGAGCGCGAGACTTAAAGTGGACCTATCATGCTATATTTTAATAATATATTGTAGGGCCATACATATATAAAACATGTCTGTGAAGTTCTTTTTCAAAATACCAAACAGATCATGCATTTTAGCCATGCCTCATTTCGCTCTATTTGCTCTATTCCAGCCCTGTCTTCACAAGGGCTGATTCTGTGGCAAATGAGCTGCAGCTGACCACGCCCCCCTGCAAAGGAGGGGGGCGAGGCACGAGCGTCATGTTACCATGCTGTTACCATGCTGTTACCATGCTGTTACCATGCCACACAACCTCTCATTCCCCTGATAGGTGGAGAAATGCCCATATAGGCGGAGCTCCCCGTTTCTGACGTCAGAGATATTTCAAATCTGGATCAGTCTGTATCAGATCCGTTGCAGCCCCGTTTTTAGAGATTTGGGTATGGAGGAAAAGAGAGAGGGTTGTGTTCCCTGACACACCGGGGACACATATTCATGTATAAAAGACGTATAGGTCCCCTTTAAGCCAAAACTACACTGCAGCTGTTGGGCTTATGACAAATAAAGCCTTTGAATGTACTGCTAAAAGGTGATAGAGTTGGCAGTGGAGAGATGTCGCTATATCAAGACATGGCATCACGTTTACACCCCAAAACAGACAGCAGGTGTCAACACAGTATAGTGTTTTTAAATGTAGCCGTTTAAAGAGACCATATGTGACTGGAACACAATGGTGAAAGAAATACTACAGTCTCAATATACTATATGTGTAAAAGTCTTAATGCATTCAAAGTAAAAGTGCTCATTGTTCAGATAGGCTCTTGTCACAGTATTGCAATAGTATAGAATATACATTTTTCATGTAGTAGTTTGTAAATGAGGAAGACATTTTAGGTACCTAAAACACTGGGTTCTTTCATAGTACAGCGTTACATATCATATCACATTGTTGTTACATTCCACCACACAACTGATGAATCAACCAAGACTCATTGAATCAAACGACTGCTGAAGATAGTTCAGCTAGAACATTACAAATGCACCATGTGTATAAATGGATGCTGCTTACTAATAGTGCCGAGTAGACGACTTGTGGGTTGGGGTGGTCCAGGAACAGGATCAGGCCCGGCAGACAGCCTTGGTCTTCTACGATGGCTCTTCGGTTCAGGGGGTCCGCAGCCAGGTCTCGCAGCTGGTTCACCACGGTCAGGGCGTCCAGCTCCGCACTCATGGTGCCTCTTATCCGGATGCCATGCACATCAAACCAACCGCTTCACTCTGCAGGAGAAAAAGAAACATGTGGTCAACCAGGGAGCTTACATTAAACACATTGGAACTGCAGCCAATGATCGTTTACACATCGATTACACATGTAGGCAATTGTATTAAATGCATAACATGTCCAAAAATAACTATCACAACATTAATTTATTGTCAAAATTGTAGACAAATCCACAATCTGCTGCAACATTGTTATTGTTACTGCTGTTGTTTTTTTATTTGGTGCAAAAATAATAATACAACTTACAAAATCAAGTGTGTTTGGCAGGCACTATGACACTTTACCATCCATTACCTTAGACCACATTTGAATGATGTGTTTGAGTTTCGGGTTCTTTTATAAACTCTGAAATGTAGTCCTACACAATCTGACTGATAAGTGACTCTTGATAAGTGACTGATAGGACTGTGGTTTTCACAGTAAAGTATACATAGCTTAGCATGACATTTCATAACATGAGTTACTTCTTACACAATCAATATATTTCAGAAAGCTACAATACAAATATTCGTGTTGACCAAAGACACCTACTACGACCCCCAACCTCACCTCAAAACACGCCCTGTGGTACAGAGGCGAGTCGGCAGCTAAGCTAAGCTAGCTAACGTTACTTGACAATGATAGCATACCTTTTTGGTCAGTTTTCAGTAAAACCATGTGACAACTCCAGCTGACTTCAGTTACAACAGATGCTAGCACGACGTTACAAAATCTTCCGGCACCACCTTTAAACAACAAATGTCACAAATTAATTTCACAAACGCTAGGCCTGCGTCCCTTTCTTTTCTATGCTTCTTTAGCTAGCAGCTGTGCACAGTGTTTGGGTTTTGTGGCACGTCAATGGGTACAGCTGTTTTGTGAATACGGACATCCCAATTCTCCGTAAAGCTCCAAGCCCTTTAAACAAGACACATCACCGCCGGGGAATGAAGGGAAGTATAACGAGCACACACAAAGTTCCTGTCAAATGATACGGTATACTTTGATTGACTGATATCACACCCAATCAGCAGTTAGTGTTCTTTTCTTAGTCAAAGTTGGTTGGTGCTGGCGCCTGTCAATCAATGTGAACAACCAATCGTAGCATCCCGTGGCCACAACCTACCCATTGTAATCCGTATAATCCAATTGGCTCAAAAATGTACTCCTTGAGTCTTCCCACATTAGCCCCCTCCTGCAGATGTCCGTCGGTTGACAAGGTGGAAAAACTTAGACAGTTGTTTGCCATCTACAGCTTCGGTAAGTTTGTTTCAAAGTCACACACACAACCGATCTTTGATTATATTGTAACGTTTACATATGCATCTGCCTCCCGGGCGTTTAATGTGATTAGACTTGTGGGTGTCTTTGGAATGTCGTAATAAATGTGTTTGTAAAGTTGGCTGGTTAGGGTTAGCCGGAGCTATGCTTGTTAGCATCGTTTAGCCGCTAAAGTCAAGATGATCCTGTTTAATTGTGCTCAACTAACCTCTAATCCTGTCACATGCACGCTACCAGCAAACATCTGCCACACAACTGCGACCGACTCACGTTACCGCTTTATTGGCTTAACTTTTTTAACCCTTAAAACAACAAACAGCGGTAAAAATGAAACTAGCTTCAAAACGCTATCATGCTAGCATCCCTGCCTGTGCTGCAATTGATGTTAAAGCTTTTCCTACAGTGTTTTGCATCTTGTCCTTTTGCTAAAATAAACAATTAAAAGGCTTGAACTGTTTTAAAGTTATTCCTGTAAAGATGTTACTTACTTAACTTTGATTTTGACAGCTGTTAATACACATGTTAAACACTTGGGGAAATTGACAAGGATTGAGATTCTATAATATAATCATTATTGGCAGGGATGATCATTTTGGAAAGAGTATTTTATTGCAGACAAATAAAGAATATGTCAGTGTTGTGGAGCATCTGATCTCTATTACACATTGCAGTATTGTAGTTCCTCTCCTTGACTCAACATGATTCAAATTTAAAAAGTGTGTTTCCTCTAGGTGACAATTTGGTGATGATGCCTTTGGTTTTAGGACATGTGTCTGAATGCCCTCGTGGTACACATCAACAGAAATGAATAAAGACAATCCACGGATAGAAATGGACCTGGTACGTGACAACGTTTGTTAATGTCTGCTAAATACATACAAGCCCTTAGTTTAAATGTTTTAATGTATTATTTCCATCTCTAAATTATGTGTTTCATGTTTTGTTTTGCAGGCTTTTGGATCAGACAAGACCTACGGGTCCTCTAGAAGTATTGTGAGGAGAATAGCTTCGAGTCTTCCTTTTAAACCCTGCCCCAGGGTTCATTTTCAGGTAAGGGTGTTTTACATAATCATCAAATTCATTAGTGTCAAAGTGAATTAGTCTCCAAATCTCTTCCTCTGTCTTTCTGCCTGTCGCTCCTCACTGTCAGTCATGTGACGATACATCACAGCCCTCTTCCAGCTTTTGCTTACCTCAGAACTGTTTCCATGTATCACCCATAAAACGAGCCAGATATGTTTTTTCACCAAACTATTTAAAGGTCACAATTTTTAGATATTTCTATAAAGAGGAATATCTGAAATGCTTTGCCTTTTCCTTTTCTGTCTCTTTCAACACAGTGCTTTCTCTTTTTTCTTCTGTCCTTCTGTCTCCAGCTCCCCTCCCTAGCTTTGTGGAATGCAGTGTGTCTGCTTTAGGTCAGTGTGTTCAGCAACCTTCCAACACCTCCAGCTGATTACTGAGTACCTGAACCTTTCATTAGCATCGTACAGATCCCCCACCCCTCCTCTCTGAACTAGCCCTGTGTCCTTTCACACACTTACTTGTATTAGTTGTTGAAATGCAGTGTTTTTGATCATCGCTTTTCTCTCTGTGACAGCTTTACCCGTACAATGAGGACGCTGGTGTCCTGATTGGCGGCAGCAGGCCGAGTGGTTTGGCCTCTCTGGCTGATGTCGGCTGGCTCGACAGGGACGAAGAGGATGAGGACGAATTAATCGGCAGACCCAGGTGGGAGATACTCCTCTGTCTGCTAACAGCGGAGAGAGTGTTTCACTTGAACTGTTTCTGTGAGTTTGGTCTAAAACATTTGAATGCCTTTTTGAAACAGGTCAGCGGTCCCAGCAGGACTCGTGTTTCGAGCCCGCGAGACTCATCCTCAGAGGTCATTATCCCGCCAGATGTCACTACCCAGTTTGCATCAGGGGTCCCCGGACCCCCAGGGGCAGACAAACACCAACGATGAGGCCAATCAGAAGATCAGCGCTCTGGAGACAGAACTCGCCAAACTCCGAGCTCAGATAGCACAAATCGTTTTATTTCAGGAAAAGAGCACACAGCCAGGTATTTCCTTTCACTAATCTCTTATAAATGCACTGCTTTGTTTCCCCTTTGTCTGCTCCATTGCAGTAACATACAATGTCCTCTAGATGGCAGCAGGCTTTTAAATGTCACACAGCTATGAGTCTTCTCTTTCCTTTGTTTCACCTCAGCTGCGACCACAGGGATACCTCCCCCTCCACCCTGTGGCACCCTGCCTCCCCCTCCTCCACCGCCCCCTCCCCCACCGCCGCTGCCGCCCCCACCTTCAAGCCTCCAGCGGACATTTTCTGCCATTGATTTGATAAAGCAGCGCAGGGGGATGAAGACAGAGGGTCACACAGATTTGGACTCGAGGCCAGCAGAAGTCCCCAGCATGCTCGACGTCCTGAAAGACATCGGCAAAGTCAAGTTACGATCGGTCAAAAGGTACGAGGGAATAAATAACAGATTTAAGAAAATGATCAAATGTAAAGATGAAGGTTTTTTGAATAAGATGCATGTTTATCCAAGCTAACAGTAGGTGGTCAAAACAACACTTACTTGCTACTGTAATGAAAAACCTGTTTGTAAACCTCACAATTAATTAAATTAGTATGTGTGTTTGCCTAACTGTGTTTTCCATAGTCGCCCAGGGGAAGGTGATGCCAAAATGAAGTCCAGTGAGCCTCTAGATGCCGCTTCTCTCATCGCCGAAGCCCTGAAACGCAAGTTTGCTCACCGGTATCGAAACGACAGTGAGTCAGGAGACATGGAGGATTTCAAGCTTCCCATTCCAGATGTGAAACCCCGAACGGAAGCTCCTCTGGTGAGAGAAGTTACTCTTAAATCGCTGTTACCTCAAGCTACAGACACCTCAAAATCAGCCTTTTATTAATCCTGAGCACAACAACTCTTACTGAGACATATTTGGATAAATGAACTCTTAATAGCTTTTTTCATTAGAATACATTTCAGGTTATGTTTTCACGTCATTTTGTCATTGATTTGACATCTAATGTTCTGTCCTTTTCTTTCCACAGTTTGGACAGCACATGTTGAAATCGACTGGCAAAAAGAAGTTGATCTGAGCTGGAGCTGCAGATGTGCTGCGGACACTTTAAAGTGCCTTACCAACCTTTTTAAATAAGGGCAGTTTCTGTGGAAGAACAAGGGATTCTGAGTACCAGTCATCTCGCAGCGTTGTATCCGATGGTCACCCTGACCGTCTGATTTTGCACTTTTTATAACTTATATTATTAGCTTTTTGTTTTAAGAACATGATTTACTTTAACTGAATGTCTTATTGTTTTGTGTTCAAAATATATCAGCCCCGAGTGATTGTGGCAGCAACACTACAGAATAATATTAAAAACACTTTAAGTGCACGTATCACAATGTTTGCATTCCCCTTTTTACGAAGGGGTTTGTAAAGAGTTTTTCAACAGGAGAAATTGAGCACTTTCTTACTCATGGAATATTGTGCTGTACACATGTATAATAGACTAATTTATGATTGGGATCCTTTTATTTATGTTGCAGTTTAAGTAGATAACACAAGTTATTATGTGGTTGATTTTTTCCAGTATTAATTCCTGGTGACTTTTAAAAAATAGTTTGTACTTTATCTGTGAGTTACGTACGTTGTGTGTCTTCTGTTGAAATTATCTCTTTAGTGAGATCTGTGATTAAGAACCAAAGACATTCCAGCGATCCAAGAGATTCTGCCTTTCTCTGCCACATATCTTTCTATGTACTCGTTGTGTACAGACGATACTTAAACAGTGAGGAAAACAGATACTGTGAAATATCTAGGTCGTAAACAGAAAAGGTGCAGTAAGAGATGCCTTTTATCACAAAGCATGCTTCGGTTCATCTCGGTAAGAAACACTATATTTACATGTTTTAGTCATGGGTCCTAAGGTACCCACTGTTCATGTATCATTCCAATGGTGCCAGTAATTATCACATTTCCATGCCTGTTAAGATGCAGATCCTTCAGGGTCGTGAGGTTTTTAGTATTTTGTTCAAAGTGACTGACTGCTTTGTTTCCGTTCTGTCGATCAAGTAAGAGTAGTTGCTGCTTTTAGTCGACTCTACTAGTATTACCTTTTAATAATGGAAGATGGACTGGGTGTGTCAGTAGTAGGATTTTGTAGAAGAGTTGTCTTCCATACAAATTGTTTAATTGTCAAATCTCTAAATAATAAAGTTTATTTTCTGTCCTAACTTTCTCTGGTGTTCATTGCTGAGTTTTAACATCTTGAAAGTCAAATGTCTTCGGTTTAAATTGTAAGGTTCAAAGAATAAATGCAACACAACTTGGGAGGGCATTTTAGCCTTTGCAGACCATTTACATGCACAAATACAATAACACTACAGGAGAGGGAACCCAAAAAGCATAATATACCCTGTTAAAGGTGGGGTAGGTAATTTTGGAGAAACCAGCTCGAGTGTGCTAGAATTTGAAAATACACAGCCGGAAGAAATCTGCCACTTCCTCACAGAGCCCCTCCTCCAACACACACGAACGCGCACATGACCAATGAGGGCACGAGATAAGTTTGTGCCCCGATGGAAGGCTGACAGGCAGGTAGGCCATCCAGTTACTTTAGCCGGGCCGGCTCAGATCATTGGTCGTGCTTTTTACAGTAC